CAATGGCAGGTTGAAGGAATTAGTTGTCTCACGACTGGTTTGGTAGGTTTCTCAAATGCATTTGTAGCGAAGAACAAGCTCTTGTCAGAAGAGTACATTGGGTACGTAATGATGCCTTTCGCAAGGAATGCACCCACTTTGTTCCATAGAAACGTAAATGTATATCTTGAATTCTGTATTTAGATCCCCTGCAACTGATGGCAATGTTCACAACTATCTGTAACTATCTATACAGTATCACCCAGTTGAACCTGCCGGTTGCAGGCTCCCAGAAAGCCCAGCATGGGGTACCGAGCCACAGCATTTTCCTGCACTTCCAACAGATCCATTGTGCTCTCCCCTCCCACCTGGGCTGTTGGTCCCCGCACACACACATCCAATGCTCGTGTCTCGCAAAAGACTTCAAAAGAAACAGGAAAGGAAGGACTCCCACACCAACAATCACCAACACACATTCATTGCTTGCTTCATCAGTGAAGACAAAAGGCAGTGAAGAGGAAGAGACAGTGAATCCCGATGCGGCACGGCTCTCGTTCTGAACCCTGGTGTCCTTTGGGAGACCGAGACCAGCTCGCAACCCTGAGGTCGAAGCAGCGTGCTCCGTCGTGGTTTCAGGAGCCTTCGAGCGGACTGAAGCTGTGGAACATGACACGACAGTACAAGAAGTTGTGTCGACCTTGTCTGCAAAGGCTAGAAAGCGAACTACAGTAACTCCGGAATCAAAGCGCAGTGCCACAGAATGGGTGCTGCTATGCCCATTGGATCAATTCAGCCAGCGCCCCAGCCGTTCAGTCAAGTTTCGCTTAAGCATAGCCTTCGCAAAACCATGAAGGAATAGAATGAGCGAATGCCAGCACTTCAGTGCCAGCGAGGTTGTGGCAATGCTTGGTTCCATGGTGGTGGCAGTGCAGGGCTTCAGTGCCAATGAAAGCAAACACAGGTTGTGACAGTGCGGGAAATGAGTGCCAGCAGCAACTATGCAACGTCAGCTACACTTCAACGATCGGTGTCCTCATGTAGGCCCTGCAGCAATGTGGTATCATCTTTGCTGCTTTGTGGGGTAGCCCAGGAGGCGCCAGCTCCCCTTCAGGCCATTGGTGATCCCAACGGCATTACGAGCGATAGCAACTTTTGGGGCGAGTTAGCAGTGATTTGTCTCTGGCTTCTTTTAATGTGAGGAGTCTACAGCCATGCCTTCTAATGGTGCGATTCCTTGTGCTACTTCAGGCCAATGAGACTACGTAACGTAGCTAGCGCAAGGCTGTCGCTTGAATTAGGTGCATGAGCGGCCCTGGACGTTTGACGTTCCTCGGCGATTGCAAAAGCGACCTCACAACTAATATGGCTGTGACCTACCTGGGAGGTCAAGCCGGTCAAGCTACATGATGTTGGAGGCTCCAGGTTTTGCCCCCTCCCCAATCCCCCATAGTCTGAAGTCTTTAAAGTCGTCCCAACAAACAGGTTGTACACTGGCCTCGAGACTTGGATATGAGACATCGACATCGACAAACCTCCATCGATGTCGTCCGGACAGGAGAGAGACCCACAATCTTGTCCGATATGTTTTGTAGTTAGCCAGGATCCAATCCAGTTTCTAGGTTGGCAAACATAGAATTACATGTGTGATGAATTGTGATGATATGTGCAAACGAACTGTTTGGGAGCACCTGAAGTGACATTACTGTGCTTTTCAGGTTCAGACCGCAACCATTCCAACCACACAATGCATCACCAAAAGCCCGCGAGTCCAATGCCTTGGCTTCAAGTTCCACCTGAGGACAGCGGACTTGAGCAAAACAGGCTGTTGCTTCACGTGCTTTTGCTGCTATGATCTGCTACGTATTCTTGAAAATACTTGAACACTTCAAACTTTCCACACTCCCAAGACCAGAGATGGAAAACTTACATAAACTATATTGGTTTCCTGCTAAATGACTCTTAAATAGGACCTTGAGGGCCTTGGAAGAGGTCGGTTAATGTCAGTAAAAAATAGCGATAATAATGCGATCAGCAAGCAAACAAACAATGTGAAAACAAACAAACAAACAAACAGCAAACCGAGCAAGCAACCAGGTAAGTTTGAAATCTTGCAAGATTTCAAGGAATCAAACACATTTCTGTAGCATGTTGTTTGTCTTATTTCATCGGTCGGGTTGGTGCAGTTTCAACAGTTGAGTTTCTTCCATTTGATCATTGGAGGGGCCCCACCATCTGGAGTCTGGACCTGCCAATTCCCCAAACGATTCCCCTTACAACGACCAGCATAATGACCGGTCATGTAAATTGAAAACATGTGTTTCACTGGATTTCGACAGTTTCCTCTTCAAACATCTTCAACCAAACTCTTTGGCAAGCACCTTACCAGTGGATTGTTCCAGCACACTGCGTCCAAATCCAAGCCACCAGGGCCGAAGAAGCTGCCGACGGAGCACCGCCTCCGCCGACGTGGGCGCTGCCGACGAGACCGAGATCTCGCCCGGTGAACGGTCGATGTTTGGTCGTTCGGCGCGTGAACAGTCGAACGAAAGTGTTTGGTTTGGGATGTAATGCCAGGAGCTACTAGTAGCTTCTTGCTCCTAGTAGCGTCCTTGCTCCTAGTAGTAAGGCCAGGAGCCCCCTAGTAGCTTCTTGGTGTGGTTCTAAGAGAAAGTCAAGATCCAAAACCATTGGGTCAAACCAAGCTTCGTTGCTTGGTTCCATGTGTGGACGCTCGGAGAAACCCTCGTCGACGGTCGTTGCCAATGGCTTAACGTTTGATCCATGTTCAACAGAACTTGTCCCACCTCCATCAGTCCATCACACAAAGGCTTCTTGCCAAGAGTTGTTTTGAGGCAAATCGGTGGATCAGAAACTATTTTCTGGTGTTGCGGTCGTCCACGAAGTTTAACATGTAGTTCAACAGGTTTAACTCGTCCTTCAATATACTCGACCTGGATCAGTAAGTCAAATGCCTTCCGTCACCAATTCATTGCTCCCAATAATAACTATAAGACTTTAGAAACAAAGAGTGCGGATTGTGTGGCCTTGGTTTTCAACAAGTATCTTTGCTCCTTTTGTGCGGAAAAACATTACTTTACTTCGAGTGATCCCCACCATGACATTTCAATCATTTGACTTGATGCCATAGTGAGGAGCATGTTGCCATGGTCGTGAGTATTGTAGTTCTCGATTTTGCTTGTGGGTCCTCGGGTTGTGTGCTGCGGTTGTGTGTTGCGGTTGTGGTTGTGTGCTGTGTTGTGGTTGTGGTTGTGTTTGTGATTGTGTGTTTGTGGCTGTGTGTTTGTGATTGTGTGTTTGTGGATGTGTATGCGGTTGAGCTTGTGGCTGTACGTTTGTGGTTGTGTCTTTGTGGTCGTGTTGTTGTGGTTGTGTGTTTGTGGTTGTGTTTGTGGTTGTGTGTTTGTGGTTGTGTTTGTGGTTCTGTTTGTGGTTGTGTGTTTATTGTTGTGTCTTTGTGGTTGTGTGTTTGTTGTTATGTTGTGGTTGTGTATGTGTGTGGTTGTGTTTGTGAGTGTGTTTGTGGTTGTGTGTTGTGGTTGTGGTTGTGATTGTGTTTGTGATTGTGTATGTGTGATTGTGTGTTTCTGGTTGTGTTTGTGGTTGTGTGTGGTTGTGTTGTTGTGGTTGTGTGTTTGTGGTTGCGTTTGTGGTTGTGTGTCTATTGTTGTGTGATTGTCGGTGTGCGTTTGTTGTTATGTTTGTGGTTGTGTTTGTGGTTGTGTGTTTGTGGTTGTGTCTTTGTGGTTTTGTTGTTGTGGTTGTGTGTTTGTGGTTGAGTGTTTGTGGTTGTGTGTCTGTGGTTGTGCGTCGATTGTTGTGTCTTTGTGGGTGTGTGTTTGTTGTTATGTTTGTGGTTGTGTTTGTTGTTGTGTTTGTGGTTGTGGTTGTGGTTGCGTGTTCGTGGTTGTGTTTGTGGCTGTGTGCTTGTGGTTATGTGTTTGTATTTGTGTGTTTGTGGTTGTGTTTGTGGTTGTGAGCTTGTGGTTGTGTTTGTGGTTGTGTGTTTGAAGCATACTATCTGCCATTCAATCTGCCATTCTATCTGGCAATCTATCTGACATACTATCTGGCATACTGTCTGGCATACTATCTGGCATTTTGTCTGGCATACTATCTGTCGTTCTATCTGGCATATCTTCTGGCATTCTATCTGGCATTTTATCTGGCATTCTATCTGGCATATTTTCTGGCATTCTATCTGGCAATGTATCTAGCAATCTATCTGACACACTATTTGGCATACTATCTGGCGTATCTTCTTGCAGCATTCTATCTGGCAATCTACTTGGCATTTTATCTGACAAACTATCTGGTTGAGGTCCAGCGGTGCACACTGCGATCGGATCCTTGCGGTTGAGGTCCAGCAGTGCACACTGCGATCGGATCCTTGCGGTTGAGGTCCAGCGGTGCACACTGCGATCGGATCCTTGCGGTTGAGGTCCAGGCGTGCACACTGCGATCGGATCCTTGCGGTTGAGGTCCAGGGATGCACACTGCGATCGGATCCTTGCGGTTGAGGTCCAGGGGTGCACACTGCGAGGGGATCCTTGCGGTTGAGGTCCAGGGGTGCACGCTGCGATCCGGAGCTGGCCAGACAACATCGGCGAAGCAGATTGGCGAGGAAGGAAGCAAGGAGGAAGGAGGAAGGAGGAGGACGAGGAGGCGGGGGAGGCGGAGGAAGAACAACTGTGATAAAATCTAACAACCCTCACCTGGCAGGTGGGGAAAAACAGAAACACACCACCTCAACGCAGCCTGCCCTGTCATCAATTGACCCCTGGCCCAAATTGCCTTGGAGGTCCACCTCCGGGCCCACCTGCGTTGGGGAGCGGGTTCCGCGGCGAGTTGGTGTTTCGACGAGATGGATCGAACAAATCACGAGAGTTGCTGATGTTCTCACCAAAGCCCGAGGGCCAAAGGGAAAGTGCAGTAGTCTTGTCCTCTTGTCCGTGATGAACACAATATATATATATAGTGTATGTTCACGATCTCAAAGTAAACTAATTTTGATCCAAACGCCATGTCATTGCGCAACCAAGGCGGACAAACTTTTGTTCTGGCTCGAAGTCATCTTCCACCACACCCGGTAAGCGATCCAAAATGTAGACCTCGGCAGGGAAAGCGCCCGACTCTTGGGCCCATGGGTGGATCTTGGAAAGTGCCCCGACTCGTTGAAAACGAACAGAAAATCATTCCAATCCCCTTTCAAATCACCCGTGCTCCGGGTCTGACTCTGACTCTATGGAACCGACTATCAAAACAAACATCTCGCAAAATCTCGCATGAACACTGTCACGTCCAAGTGGCATTAGTCCCGAAACCCACGGAACGCAACGTCTTGCGCCAACGTAGCCGTGACTTTGTCCAGAAGCTGTCCTAGCAGTGGTTCCCCCAAACCACCAACCCAAAATAAATAGCACATCCAAATGAACTATGGCCAAACCTTAGTAAACCCTTAACTCATTGTACATATAGTTTGGGTTTATCCTGTTACTATTACCAGAAACAGTGGATGATTGTTAGTAAAAACCTTGTTCAAAAGTAGTGATAAATGTTTACTGACTGTTACAGGTAATAGGACAGACCCAACAAGCATATTAATAACATCTAATTTCATAACTATAACTATAATGTACTGGATGCGTCGACCATTGCAAATCTTGATCGTGGCTCAACTAAGTTTCAATTGGCAATGGAAGATGATGGATCTATCACTGCCCGGACCTTGACACCGGCGAGACCAAGAAAGCGTCTAGGGAATATGGACGGAGCACGGGCATGTTTTTGACGAAATGGATCTGAGATTTGATCGGCTTTTGTAAGTATAGAAAAATTTAATGCCACCCCAGTCTGATTACACCACTCGGAAACCCTGTTGCTTGGGGCCGCTTCCACCTCAGTCTTACAAGGATGAAGCCCTGACGCGCCCAATCTGATCCACACAAGGATCTTGCTGGTGCGTCCACGTCAAAAACAAAGGGGTTGCACGACATCAACCCAAGTGCAACTGACCAGCACATGCAACTAATGCAGCTGCACGCTGCATTACACCCATTACAAACGTGAAGAAAGCAAAGCAAGCTGTACCGTAAGTACATGCAAGCCTTTGAGCACCCTACAAGTCAGGAAACCCATGCACTAGATGGAGATCAAGAATACAAGGTCAAGTCTAGCAAGCGCCTGCGCAGGCATAAGCCCGAGCACCCAGTAACTCATGTCGGAGGCTCCTCACAGCATATATATTATATATACTTACATGTTTCTAAATTACCGCCTTGTTAGTAAAGCTACGACCAAACTACAAACATAGGAAAATGATATAAATTGGGTACCTACCCACTGGAATCACCACCAATCATGCCCCTCCCTAGCGCCACGCCGCATTTACACACGCATGTGCACCCTTCCCCTATGACACAGAGCCACGCAAACGCACTTTCCACCGAGGCCGCGCAAAACCGCGTGGCACAGCGACATCACCTATCAAAACCTTTAGTTGTTAAAGGATATCGAAGGATCACTATTTTAATAAAGGGTTTAGTAAGGGAAAAGGAAGACCCTTCGATCCGGAGTCTTTTTTGCACATGTTGTTGATACAAGTTTAATAAAGGATTGTATGAAGCCCTTCCCAGGTTTCCATCCTTGCGGGTAGCCGTATTTGGGGGACCCCCTATTAAGAAGAATGATACCGGATGAGTTTTTCATTAGGGGGAGGGAGGACCCGTGTTTTTCAATAGGTGGAAGGGATTGTTCACTTGCAGAGTGGCAAGAACATGTCTGTGTAACACCATGCAACACCTAATATCGAGCCTGAGTGTAGTGGAACTCTTATTCACCATTCTTAGGTTCTTGGGACTAAGAAAATTCAGAGGCACCCCCTCCAATGCCGATCGAAATGCATTGAGTTGGCCACAATGCAACATCACTTCCTGGAAAGCCACAGGAAAGCACCGTAACATGACCAGGGAAGTAAGGGTGCAAGCCAACAAATCCCCCTTAGCATCCCTCCTTGCTTCCCGGCGACCCTAGAATTCATCTCTTCATTGCGTAGAAAAAACGTCGAGAGTCTACGGTCAACTAGGGGTTGGGATCCTTTCCAGGGTTGCAGCTTGCCATGAGGAAAAGTAGTTCACACGTGAAGCGCAAATTCGCATATGAAACAGATTGACCAAGCCAGCTCCTGGAAAGGCGCGTTGACCCTGAGCGAGCATGGAGAGAGGGACTCAAGTTGAGACAGGTATAACTATAACGTTATGTGCAAAAGGATTCGGGCCAATGTTTTTGGAATCAATCAAGTGCATCCCAATTCTGCCTGGCACTAACGATGGAACACTCCAAATTGCACGATTGCGCCCCATTATCGGCTGGTCGCATGGAGGATTGGATGGATTGGATGGCCATTGCCTTAGAACCCCGTGAATGCTCTGTTGTCAACCCTTTTTGTGGAGTTGTTGTGTTTTGTTGGAGGGTTTCTCTGAGTGCAGGTGTTTCTAATAGCTTCTTGTTACTACTAGTAAGGCACCTGTTACTAGTAGCGATGCACTTGCGAACATTGTTTCTGCTTGGTGTTCAGCTTGCAATGGATCATTCCCGAAGAAAGTGCTGTCACAGCAGAGACCCGTCTTTCGCACGTGTGCTCCCTTCACCAGGCGAGGCCACCGGAAGCCGCAGCACCTGACATAACCTCATGAGCCATGTGAGGCCACCAAACCGCACCACTTCACTGGAAAAAAGCGTCGCTTCACCGGTGGAGCCATGGCACATCTTCCACAACGTGGACCTCTCAACGACCACCTCGGCCATGAGAAACGGATCCAGGCACCAAAACGGATCCAGCACGGAAATACCGGAAGGCAGTCAAATATAGGAAGGCTTTGTGACTCATAGAATAGGCACAAAGCACGTTCTACAAATTTGGCCGAGTTCTTTCAGGAAGGGCTGATGATGGCATGCTATCACAAATAACTATCAGGATTATATATATATATATATATATCACTCCCTGGAACCAAGATGGAAGTGGAGAATCCCCTGGTTGTAGAGGAAACTGGCTTTCATTGGTGTTCCAAGGGCCATTTGTCAGTTCTATGCTGCTGCTGCTGCTGCTGCTGCTAGTTCGAGGAAGTGTAGGTCAATTATTGATACTATACAAACTAGTGCATATTATTGGTGGTACGCTTGCTAAGACAAAACCAGAGGTTGTCCACCCGATGTGCTGATGGTGCAAATCTATGGCTTTGTTCGAATGGATCAATTGATTTGTCGCAATATGAAGTACATAATTCCTGGACCCAAAAAAACATGCACACATACTGGACCACACAATGCTCATCAATGTTCATCAATGTTGAATGTCTTTCACCATCTTTAACCTGCGTCTTTCAAAAAAACTCCTATTGTGTGACGGCCAATAAGTGTGCGCAAGTGCCATTTCTCTGGGCGCCTGGCCAGAATCCCGCCTGCCCGCACACAGCGGGCAGCCCGTTGTAGCATCCGCCGGCGCCGGGATTTGTGGCCGGTGCCAAAGGTGGGGCCTCGACAATTGCATGTTTGAATGGTCCACATCTGAGATGGCCCAAATGGATACTACTGTCTATATTATATATATATATAATGATACTAGTAATAGGCAGTCAGGCAGTTGTCAAAACATGATCTCTGTTTGCTGTTTGCGACTCACTTTACTTCCGCTACTTTACTGCTGCTAGGCCCGGCTGGGCCTGGTCATAGGCATAGGCTCTTTAAGTTCAAGACACAAATCAGAGGGCCTGGAAAGAAATGTTCAAACGATAACATCCCCCGGGGGAGGGTTGGGATCCTTTCGTTACATTCATCTCTCCTCCACCTGGCCAACTCCGCTCCTACGAACATGCCTGGCCAACTCCGCTCCTAGCTACGAACGCCAATGCCCGCAGGGTGCCCCCACTCAGCGCCCGCAGCACCATCGACAACAGCGCTGCATCGAAATGCTCTGTGGGAACCTGGGCGATCGATGCACACCATGATGCATCCACTCGTTCGGTGGAAATTCATGTTCCGTGGGCCACTGGAAGTGGACTGGATCCCGAGCGGGAAGGAGCTTGGAAGATGGAACATTTGAAAGGCAAATAATCCCCTCTCCCTAATAATAAACGGGGCCTCCCCCCCCCCCTATTAATAAAAACCCTGGGGTGTTTTTACTAATAGGGGGTGTTTATTATTGAGGGGCACCTGTTGTACCCCCAAAATGGTCAATGTTCTGTTCGCCCTAATAAAAAGTAGGGTCTTGAAAGAAAATCCCTGGGTTCCCAATCTAATTAATTATATAAAATCCTTGTTAAAACGACCATCAAAAAAGCTAAAAAGGGTCAAATCGAAGGTCTTCCCCCTGTTGTTGGTTTCCTAGACCAACTGTTGATGCACCCAATTAATGAAAACACATCGCTGCAAAGAGCAATGGATAGCGCAATCAGGAAAGCAAAATTAATTAGGAGCATTGGCACAGACTAAGAGGTATTTTTGGGGGAGGGTTGGAGATGTTTTTAATATTAGGGGGAATTCGGGTTATTTTTGCTGTCCCCCTAATACACCTAAAATCTGGGGCACCCCCGACTGTGGACCCACGAGTATTGAATTTCAAAGGGAGCAATTTCAAAACGCTACTAACAATTTTTTGGGGTCGGGCACATGTGTTTTTATTAATTGGGGTACGTTTATTAATAGGAACTAGGGTTATGTCGGGCACGCCAGCCATAGATACAAGGAGCCAAAATAGTTTTATAAAGCAAAAACAAAGCAAAAAAAAAGCAAAAGGCAAAGCAAACAAAAATGCAAAAAAATGTAGCTGTGCGTATTTGTCGCTTTTTTTTCACTTTTTTTCGCTTTATTTTCGCTTTTTTTTCGCTTTTTTGTCGCTTTTTTTTCGCTTTTTTTCGCTTTTTTCCTAGGAGGGTACAGCAAAAACATATTTGTCGTTTTTTTTTCACTTTTTTTTCGCTTTATTTTCGCTTTTTGTTCGCTTTATTTTCGCTTTTTTTTCGCTTTTTGTTTTGCTTTGTTTTTGCTTTTTGCTTTGTTTTTGCTTTGTTTTTGCATTTTCATTTGCTTTTATTTTGTTTTTTTTCACTTTTTTTTTCACAAAAAAAATTATTTGATGGTTGGCCATGTATGGCTGCCATCGCCCAACATAAAACTAGGGATTATTTGAGAATTGAGACACGTGACAAGTTACAAGTCCTTTTCAAACAGTTTCATTCATCAACTGGACGGCCATGCTTGTGCCTATGACCGAAACTCCAAAACAAGTTTTTGTGTCAGAGTCAGTTGAATCCACCCGGGCCTGGTAAACGTTCAAAACCGACGCGGAATTGGAATTGAAACCAGTCTGGTGTCCAATGCTAACGGCCGTGGGGAGCCCTCGCAAAGCCGACTTCCAATTCCTGTCACCCAAAATACACCCTGAAATAAGGTGAAATGATTGTTATCATGATATCACATGATCCTATATTGTTTTTCTTGAATCACACACTCCTTTCAGCTTGACTCATCAGCCTGCAGCCCAGCAACTGCAAGCAGCTGCCGGGGATCCCCATGCCACAGAGCCTACCGGCGAAGGGAGACAGCCCCTTGTGGCCAATCATTTGCCAGTGAGCTACATAATACATGAAACTTACAGCAAAACGCTATAACATAAACATACACAAACAATGAACAAATCAAAGAGAAAAAACACAACCGCAGCTGCTGCGAAAGGTGGTTGTTGTTGTTGTTGCTGTTGTTGTTGTTGTTGTTTTCTTTTGAAAAGGTCGGCTCTTGACTCGTGTCAAAAAGGATGTCCCCAGAAGGGCTGCCGGCCTACACTTCCCAACTTCTGTGCCCTCCGGTGGCCCCACCTCTGATCAAATAAAAACACCACCAGGTACCAATGGTACAGTATAATGATCTGGGGTCCTTACCCAAACACTCCATGTATGCCATATATGCCTACATTGACCCCCTAAAACCACCCCAATTGATCGGCAAACATGGCCCCCCCATGGAGTGTCTGGGTTATTATGTCTAGATTCTAGATTGAGTGTCTTACCAGTCGGCCACAAGATCTCAACGCCTCTGAAAGATCATCACGAAGGTCTACCTGGCGACTAAGGACTGGCGCGATAAGAGGCCTTATCTGCTGGATTCAAAGCATTTGCCTGGAGGTTCATAGATTGTGTGATTGCATGGTCTATGTGCTAGGCTTTGCCAGGTTACTGTCTGTTTTTGCTTCATAGGATCGGCCTGAGGCATGAACCAATCGTGATTTGCGTGGAAATGTTTCGGTACTGCGACACAAAGTGCGTGCTTTGCGGCTTTGCATTCCAATTGCTTAACTCATTCTTGAAGTTTGACGGTAAGCAAAACAATAACCCAATATGTGTTATGATAAATGCTCAAATATGCTCAAATTCACTCCCCCCATGGACGTGACATGGGCATTTTGGTAAGTAATCAGGTTTGATGAGCGTAGTGTGTGAGATCGACCTTTTGGATCATCCACACGGCCTGCATGGAAGGAACCAGGGTCCAAACACTGGAAGGAACCATGGATGTTCCCCCATCGAAAAACCATTCCTGGAAGGGCACTACTCGACCTATGATAATCATAATCACATCGTGCATACCAACACTTGACCGACCAGGCTTACATTGAGAAGATATCCCAAGCTTTGCGCCTCCAAAAAGTCGCCGATCAAAACCTGCCGGACAAGCGGACAGCGATCAACACCTCCCCGCCCCAAGCGAGCTTTGCGCTTGGTAGGAGCAAGTTGCCCGATGATTCTCTGAAGCAGCAAAGTATGTGGTTTCGTCTGAAACAAACATAAAAACAAATCCGTACATAAAAACAAATCCGTATAAAACAATGCGTTGCTATACTTTTTTGTCTATATATATAATCTGAAATATTCTGATATTATCCATGCACTTATATAAAAAGGTGTAATTACACAACTTGATGCACTGGATAAACAATGATAAACATCTCTCTAGTAAGTGACTCGTTCTGGATTATCACATTGATGAATTCAATGGTGACTTGTTGCAGGACCATTCTGATGGCTGGCTGTTGACAGTCTCTCTGCTGGCTCTTCCAACAGGCCTTCACGACCCACGAAATGTCTGCCACTGCGAATACAATGTTGCTTTTCATGATCTCAATTCTTTTTCGCTACAGCAATTTCTTCCAATTGTCTTGGATCCCCGTAGTTACTGGGATTGATCCATCTTCCTTGGGATGAACTACGAATTCTTCTGCTTCGGAAACCAAGCCACATCAGGACCATGGAGTAGGCAAAAGGACAAACTGAACAATGATGCCGTGTGCCTACAGAATTCCAAGCCCCGAAAACGAAACATACCAAACATATTATATGCCATATGCCGCCTTTATACCAAACCTCTGCCAGAAACGGTGAGTGACAAACCCACCCGAAGCAACGAGCTCCACTGAACGACAATGTGGCGCACACTGGGATCTCCAGGGACGACATCAATGGCCGTGACGTGCGGAAAGACGTGCTGAAGCCTCGTCACGGGTCCAGAACACACCGAACGTCGAAGCGGTTCGTTTGATGCATGTGGATGAAGTTGGGGAGCAAGGACGCTACTAGGGGCTCCTGGCCTTACTACTAGGAACAAGAAGCTATTAGAAACAAGAAATAAATAGTAGAAAGAAACAAGAAGCTACGGTTCGGTTGGCATCGGTGGGTACATGGGGAGGTGTAGCTGACCGAACTTCACGTGAGTTTGGGAGTGGCCCAGGGTCTGAATTCCACCGCGAAGCAGATAGATCATGGATTGGATGAAAGGTGGTCTTTGGCATTTGGCAAACTAGGATGATTTTGGTGGCAGGTTGACAACACAAGTCTTGGATACTTCCCCAATCTCGTTTCCGACTTCCCCCGGTTCCCAGAGCCCGGGCGGATTGAAGCTCGTGCCGATGTCCAGCACACGCTCCTAGCAAATGTCACAAGCAAGCTGAACTGGGGATTTCTCAATCCCAGAACTCTAAGAAAGTTGTCTTGGATGCCCCGAATTGGCTTAAGGAATAATTTGCAGGATACCATAGGAAATCAAACAAGTTTGGGGAGTTAAAACCTTGGTTTCCTGTCGATTTTTCCCGTCATTTTTCCCTTAAAACAATCCATTGATGTAAATTGATTGGTCGCAGAGTGTGTCTTGCTAAGAGTAGACTATGTAGACACGATTCATCAAGGACTCCACCAGTCTCGCTCACGTCCCAAAGATCTAGAGATCGTGGATGTGCTTTCCACATAGCGCATGGTACTCTTCGTATGGAGTCCATGCCCACTTCTTCATTGTGCCTACCAAATGTTCCAAGCACCACCAAATGTATTGCTTTCGTTGCAAAGAACTTGCAAAGGTTGCAGGCACGGATCCAATCCCCACACCACCGGACTGCATCACCGGAGGAGCAGGATCAAGCATGCAACCCGGTGAGTTTCAGTGGGTCCACGTGAATTGCTTGACCCCTGTTTGTGGCTCATGGACGAAGTGACCAGCAAAGCTACCAAAGCTGGAACATGAACATGCATGGTGTTTGTATGTTAATTGTTGTTTACATGATTATGTGTCAAAGAATGTTATTGTTTTTTTTTTTAAGACACATTGGTGAATATGGGTGGCGGCCCGAAGTCAACTGAGGCTCCAGACCACCTGGGCTTCTTTCAAGACTTCAACGGCCAGGGACATGGCCTCAAAGAAGGCCATGGCGGCTATCTGCACACATCATATCTCTACCGAAGGGTGTGTGGGACTGGGATCCCTTTTTTGGGATTCTCGTCATGAACCAGGAAGTCTGGTGACAAGCTAATCAGTTGCGCTGAAATTTTCTCGCTGGAGTTGAGCGATTTTAAACCCTCGAGTCATAGATCTGTGCTGGCAACATGGCTTCAGGATTTCTGGTAGTTTTGAAATAAAAATCTGGAAGGTCAAATTGAAAAGGTCTAAGTTGACTCATGTTGACTGCGCTACCCCGCCGGCCGTCGCGCAGAGCGATGCCTTCCGGTGCCAAACAGTAGACGCTTGCGAGGCGACGGCTCTGGAGTACTCCTGATGGCACCGGATGTGGGTTGGCACCTCCGACAAAAACAAGAGAAACTATTGTTAAACTGAAGAGGAATCATGAGGAATCCCTATTCCACTATCCGCCAAACCATCCAATGAATCTACAAAAGTCCTTGTCTCCACATGCTTGGCGGGGCATCTTCCGATTGGTCCAGAATTGTCGAACGTCCCCATTTCCAGCTAGAAAGGTCAAGGCTGTGGCTGCAGATCAATACCCTTGTTGAAATGATCCAAATTGAGTTGCTTGTATGATTCATCCTGCAACAAGGCTAACGGGGTTTCATCCATCCACAGGTGTAAATGTTCAGCAACGTGGAACTAATCCCAGCTTGAGAAAGGTGGACCAGTGGGCGAAACCAATATGCTGCGCACTGGTTGGGGTCACTCATGCCCTGAAAATTGCACTAAAGGCACTTGTAGCTATTCGTCCTCCCCAGTCCAATAATTAGGTTTGTTGTGGTTTGATAAGGTTTGTCACCATTGTCGGATGGAACAAAAATACCTATTATCTCCTATTATGTCCAGCCCTTCGTGAAAAAATTGTAGACCGTGGTTCACTTGTAACCAACAAGGCCCTTTCGAGTGGTGGATCATACCTTGGTCCCAATCGTTCGGAATCGATCCTGTCGAGCCCCAGCCACCCTTTGGAACCTGCGGAGATGGCACACTGCTGTCACTGAAGTTATCCTGCCTGAGGAATGACGAGACGATTACGATAGCTCATGACCAGGCCAACAGTTGCAGTGCCCTGCAAAGAGGCTAAAGATCTGCACCACCTGCAAATGTTTAAAAGAGCATAGCAAACTATTCTGCAAAGGAACATTGTGTATTTCCAACATGCCAAACAGTGTGTGGAGATGGACCTTCTAAATGTTTGGATGAACTTTGCATGTCATTTCAGAAAGTAGGTTCCTTACATTATATTTTCCAATAGAAACTGCTTTACTGCTTCAGGGCTCAGTACCTTCCTCAGACCCTACCGCTGGGCCACTGGCTTGAGCATCTCCACAGCTCCATGACGATCCCCCGCCTTGATGCGACCTTGGAGAGGTTGTTCGGTCAGTGAGGCGAAAGGCGAAAGAAGTCTTTTGTTGTCCTAAGACAACTCGGCTTTTGTTTTGGACACGTTATCCATACTGAAGCATGAGCACAGTAGCCGTTTTCAGGGTCTTTGATGTTCTTAGTATTCAAGGCTGTGGGAGTGGGTACAAATGTCATGGGAGACGTATGGCATCTCTTCGTGTCTGCCTCTATACTATTGAGCAAGCTCTTTTCTTGCTCCAAACAGGTATATCACGGTATATCTATTTCCAGCCTAAACAGTCAACATTTACCAGCTGGGCAGCCCTGCGGTAGTTGGCCTCAACATGGGAGACAAACGAATGGGTGTTTGTTCCCTTCGGAGGTCCGAACGTTATATATATATATATAATGCTTCTTGTTACTACTAGTAAGGCACCTGTTACTACTAGCGTGGCACTTGTTACTAGTAGCTTCTTGTATATATATATATGCAAATGCTTCGTCCAAGACTCATCCTGCACGGTAGAATACGGTAGACATCAAACACCCAGCGATCGGTTTGGATGGCGGCTCTCCATCAACAATGATAGTAGAAAAGTATATAATTATATATAAATGTAATATCATATTATACAATATGTATATACTGTATATACCAATAGGATCAAATAGGATGGATTAAGTTATGCCCCCTGCATGACAGCAAATGGAATAGTCCAAGGGGCGAGGTGATTGACATCAGGAAAATGCTTCACAGTAGAGCAACATATTGAATAAGATAACAGTAAAGGTCTGCCCTTCAGGCCATCAACTAGCCCCTGCAAGCCAGCAAGCAGAGTCTTTTGCCAAGCTTCGAGTCTGATGCAGGCATTGCTGCAGGGATAGTTGGCTATCTAAGTGTCCGCCAGTGGAGGCACAGGGTCAAAACCTACCCCCTAAAATGAATCCGGTTGCTACAACATGGCCTGTCGCAGGACATGTCCTCAGGGCATGTTCCAAACATCAACCTTTGTGATGATTTTTGATCAGCTCAAATCCTTTCTTCCAGCGTTGCTGAACGGGGAAGGCAAGCCGCCTCCCAAAAGGCCGTACAGACCGTGATCGTGGGAAGGAATGTACATCTGACATCATCTGACCTCTCTGATACCTAACGCCTTGGAGAATTTGTCCCGGTATGGATTGGAAGGACATGGAAGGACGATCGGATGACGGACGGCAAAATTCGCCATGAATTCTTCGGAACTACCCACATCTTCCGTCAGACTTGAGGATCCATGAGGATCGGTGCAGAGTCCGTAGATGTATATTCTATAGACTGCTTCCGATGGGAGAAAATGCTGCAGCTACCAGAAGCGGCAGCAAACATATTCTAATTCTAGATCTGTGGACATGTTCATAATCGCAGCTCAGTGTTGTTTAACAATGAGCAAAACACAGCAAAACTGTGAAGTGCAAGATTTAACATGAAGTGGCAATTCTGTCCATTTCTGGATGGCTCTTCCAAAGCCCAGCTTGCTTGGCGTGGTGATTCTCTGCATCTTACACTGGCAAACTGCAATTAAAACACCTGCGCGCCTTTGGCTTCCTCCCATGTGACCTGCACATCCGTCACTTTCCTCTTGGCTGTTAAGCTATTCCTCGGCCACCGTCCAAAAGCAGGAAGTCCCAATCTGGGCCACCATCCCTACAGTCCTACAGCTGGGCAGGAGTAGTTACTGCCTTTGTACGCAAAAAAAAAAAACAGAACACTGCAGCCGAGGCGCTCGAGACCCGCTTCAGCTGCGCCTTCGGGGCCCTTCCAACACCAATCCACCAATTCTTTCAACTTCTCCTTCCGACCAACGGGACTTGGACGGACTCTCGGTGCGGCTGACGCGGGCACGGCAAGACGCGGAAGCTCCAGAAAGCGAACCTAATGGACTAATGGACAAACACACAACTGCTCTAAAATGATCAAAACAACTGCTGATGGTTTGTGTGCACCTATCGGCCGACCCCAACGAGTTTAATACATCGCGACATCGGTTCCTTTGATGCCAGTCTCAGGGAGAAGTTGCTTGGCACCAGATTGGTTCTCAATCAGAACCAATTTGATCCAACATCCAAACTATGAAACACCCAAAACCTCCAAGACGTGGTCAGGGGTTCAGTTCTCAAACGACATGGGCTTCCTACCATCCAGTGTTGGTCAACCTTCCAGTTACCTTCAGTAATTATAGAGGTCAAACATGGTTCGAGCATGTTCAAGCATCTTGCCAGCATCCGCGAAGTGTCAGGGGCACTACGACTGCGTATGATATGTTTCTTTAGCGCGTCCTGAGGCCCTTCAGCCAGCACTTCCACCCTTCCGTCGCTCAGGTTCCTGAGTCGTGCTCAAGTGAAAGCTGCTTTGCGCTGAGCAGTTTCCCGGTACGTGAAGAATATCAAATGGAACATCCATTATGACATGTCCAAAATGGAAGGCCAAATCATGCCAAACTATAGTAAATGTATCTGAATCGAAATGTCACTAAACCCGACCCATACGTCGCATTCCAAGATTCCAAGCAGCACCGCTGAGACCCAAGCGATCTCCTTGGATAAACAACCAATCGCCACGCCACACAAAGCGTGGATGGATTGATTTGCGATGGATTTGTCGGATACTTTAAGAGGTAGCCATCTGTAGCAAAACAACAAACAGAACATGCCCGAAATCACTGGACATATAGAATATATAATATATATATATATAGATAATTCCGTGCTTCTGAGGTGACGTTGGAAATAGGCCATGAGGCCCCTTGTTCAAGCTCAGTGAGCATTCCCTAGGATTGCCCCCGAGTCGTTGAAGCCACAAACATGTGGAGATGTTTGTCGAGACTCAACGTGTACCGAGGCGGAAAGTTTCTGGTTGCCAAGGCAAAACTTGACGCATTGTCTGGTGGCCCGAATTGACTCGTTGATGCCTCCGGCCCTCTGCATGTCAGGTCTATTGAGTCTATTGTTGAAATTGAAACTCGGGATGACATATGACCCAACATAGCTAGTGTGATCGGTTTCTTGAAGAAACAACTTTCAAAACAAAACGCAAAACAAAACACCTTTGGCTCAATATATGATTCTGATTCAAACATATTCAATCAACAACTTCGTCTCTTGCGTTGACCTACCTATATAGTACCTCCGATGTTTTCGAATAGAAATTCCAGGCCACATCGAGGCTGAGGACTTGGAATCTACCCCACAAGCAGCATTGAAAAAACGTGTTTTTTTGTTTTGTTTTCGTTTTCATGGCATTGATCTTCCTGGGCAAATCCGGGAGATCCAAGGATCCCATGATCTTGGTGGTGTCTCTGTAGTAGACCTGGAAAAACAGCGGGAATCCCAAAGACATGAGGTGGGCTCAAAACCGGAGCCGATCAAAAGTTGGGTACCTCTGCAGTCTCCTCACTTCTATCATGTTCTATCCACCTCAATCTAGTGGCTTTATATAGTCTCTTTAGCCATTGCTAAAGCAAGTCATGAAGGGTCAACTGGAGAAATCTAAGGGTTAGAGCCGGATTCGGAAACTAATCGGTCGGATTCTGAAACTAGGGTTCTGAAACTGGGGTTCTGAAACTAGGGTTCTGAAACTTGGATTCTGAAACTGGTATTCTGAAACTGGTGTTCTGAAACTAGGATTCTGAAACTGGGGTTCTGAAACTAGGATTCTGAAACTGGGATTCTGAAACTTGTATTCTGAAACTGGAAAGTCAGATTCTGCAACTGGTATTCTGAAACTGGAAAGTCAGATTCTGCCACTGGTATTCTGAAACTGGAAGGTCAGATTCTGCAACTTGCCTTCTGAAACTTGCAACTGGTGATCTCCACATCATGCGATAGCGTGTGTGCCTGTGACATCACCTTCGAAGCACATCCAAACCAACGTCATTAGCCCCCCACCCAACCCCCCCTTGTCCCCATCGTGTGATTTCGACATCCCTCATCATTCACAAAGTTGCGGAATCCTAGTGAGGGAGTCCACAATGTTGCGGAATCCTAGTTGCGGAACGCCAGTTGCGGAATCCCAGTTGCAGAATCCTAGTTGCGGAATCTTGACAGTTGCGGAATCCTAGTTTCGGAATCCTAGTTGCGGAATCCTAGTTGCGGAATTCTAGTTGCGGAATCCTAGTTTCGGAATCCCAGTTGCGGAATCCGACCAAACAGTTGCGGAATCCTAGTTGCGGAATCCTGCGCAGTTGCGGAACTCGACTTTATCCAAAATCTAAGAACTTGCCTAAATATTCCCCAACACTAGAACCCACACTTGCCTTGAACGCTTGTGACACTTGTACATCTTGTACCAAAGCAACACAATGTTCGTGCAACATGGGCACCACGGCACTGGCCAAGTGCATGGCCAAACAGCCAAAGCGCACCAAACAGTGATTGCGTGGCCCCCACAAACTCTTGGTCAAGCGCAAGGGTCCATATTTACGCATCAATCTCTCTGGGTCATCACGGGTCCATCAAACTACGCATCGACGTCAAGTTCCAGAATATACGCCGAACGACTCGAACGTTGCAGAACGCAAAAGACATCGACAAGGAGTGGTCCATTCTTGGGTAAACCCATCCAGTTTCCATCTGGAAAAGATGCCATGATTCAGCAGCATGACAATCTGACGTCGCCCCGGGCGCTTGCCCGAGAGATTCCCACGAATTTAACGGGTGCTTGTGTCTATGCATAATATCACACGGGCCAGGCACTTAAACAGGTTGCACCAAGGGGCTCCCTGGACCTTGCCAGTCACAAAGATTTGGGCTCTTTGCCTCAAGGAGGATTCGCCACTGCAGGTGTTTCCGCGCGTATTTTGTCACGCTGGGGTCATTTATCTAGATGGGTCTTTATCTAGCTCAAAACATAAATACCTCAATGATTCAACACATTGGTGCTCCACACGTCTGCCGAGCAATCTTCGGCAACCACTACTGGATTGTAGATGTTGTATAGACCCACAAACACAAATGACCAAGCGACCGATCAGCCTGGGAGCATCTGCTTCCAAATACTCATAATACTCTATACTCCCCATATACAGTAAATATAATGTACCCTATAGCTTTAAAAAAAGACAAAAAACGTCAGACCGCACGTAACCACAGGAATGGCTTGGCCCCTTCGCCTTCCTTCCCTTCCCAACAAATCACAGTTTTATAGCATTTTATATACTTTTTGGATCCTTTTTGAAAGCTGTAGCCTTTCCTGTCTCCCTCCTCTTCTCAGCTCCAAGCACTTCTGCCATGGCTCGCTGCCGCACGGTCCGCCGGGACAGCAATTGGGCTGCCGGTCGCTTCATGACTGCGGGAGAAGTTACGTCGCTACATCAATACAAACCCGGTGATCCAAGGCCATTAGGTTGTTTTGTGTCCAGATATGAAATGGGACACGTCCTGGGACCCAGAAAGTTGGCCAAAACTCTTCCAAACACACATGGCCTCCCACCCCCCTGGCCCGAGAGAAAGGACCTGGCCCGTGCCCGGAAGCAACGTCGCGCCTGCTTCTCTTGGCCCAAGCTCAGCAAACGCTGCAGCACCGTCTCGAAGTCGGTGAAAGTCGCCATGTCGGACCGCGGAAGGTCCTGGTCATCGGACGGAGGAGTCCAGCGATGCGATGGACCAGGTCGACCATCCGACTCACCAGGTCGAGAACTGGGTCTAAAAATCTGACTCAACATCGTCTTCATAGGTTTGGATGGGAGTTTAGGTAGTCGTTTAGTTTCATGATGCTTCATGTTTAGGCAATGGAAATGGATGTTGTCGTCAGTGGTTGCTTGCTGCCCACCATTTGGCCCGTCGAATGCGAGTTGTTGCCAGCTTTCACAAAGGTCTTTAGTCTTTTCCAGTGGAAACTAATGTTTAAACAAAAAGTCACCCAGTGCCAATAAGATTGACTCAACTCCTGCCGAAAAATGAATCCACCAAGAACGGGTCATCATTGACCATGGACAGCAGCATCTGGTAAAACAGCTGTACCATTTTGTGGCGCACTTCCTATTTTGGGTGTCGAACGGTTCTGCCGATCGGTCTGACCACCGACTGGGCTGGTCAGACCGATCGGCTCTCTGTTCACGACACTGGGCTGGTCAAGTCTTGGGAGTTCAACCTCAGATTGGGAGAGCATTGAGACCACTACCAGCACCACGGAAAGGGTGTCCATTAATAGCCCCTTAGGGTGTCCATTAACCACCCCTCGGGGGTTCAGGTAATTGAAGTTCCATTCTTTGGCTGTTTTCTGTCTCCACTTCGATAGACAAACCAAGTGTGTGTGTTTTTCACAGGTGCTAATCCTCCCTGTCTGCTGAATCCCACGTCCAGCCTCATCGACGCCCAACAATTCCCACTCCTCACAAAGCGTGGTCAACGGGATGTCATTTCAGCTCCCTCGGGTGTGGGAGGACAAACACCAATAAATGTCCGATTGAAAAGTACGTAAAGTGAAGGGAGAACAACATGTTGACAAGTAAAACAATACATGCATATTTTTGGTTCTGCTTTTTGTTCTTAACATGTTTACTGCATGTCTGCTTTGCCAACACTGGCGTCCACAGAAGTGTTGTGGCAAACATGGATCAGTGTCCGCTCATCATCAGAATTTAGTCCACACCATCACATGACTGCAGGTTACATTGCACAAATCAGACTCAGAATGAATGCATCCTGACATTGACCACAAGCAGCAAATCAGTTTCACAACAGCCGCCGGGCCGCTGGGCACCGGGTCTCCCGGCCCATCCCAGGCGCATCGCTCGACCCAGCTTGCGCAAGAGCTTGTGGCAGCGTTGGGAGACTTGCTCCTCGAGCTCGGTGTGGCGCACCGGTGCACTCAGAAAAGGCACTAGTATAAAACATATATCTATAATCTTTTGGAGTTTGTGTTCGCTGTTGTTGGACAAAATCCTGCACCGCTTTGCGCACAGGTTCTCCCTCGTTAACATTGTGGCCACCACAGTGAGAAAACTAAAACAAGTAAGGTCCAAAATCCTGCACCACCTCCTCAGAGGGGTCGCGCCAACATTGAATGACGGGGCACAGGGGTTGCTATGCGACCCTTCCAGGTAAAGTCGTGGTGAGGTGGTGGAGGATTTCGTCCATCAACAGTATGATCTTTGTGTTGCTGATGTTGTTATATATAACATAAATCAAAAGGTTGTGCTTGCCGATGATCTTTCGCATGTTGCTTCAACAGCAAGCGTGCAAAATGACCCCAAGCTCGCTCTGACAGGCGAGACATATCTCCCAAGAGCTCTGGTAGCGAGCCCTTCAACCAGCGCTGGCTCGTGGGTTTGGAGCGCCAGCTTGTCTCCTCTACCGGTGTCATGATGAATTGCAACTGGTAGTAACTGGTGCCCTGGTGCAATTTAGCAACATGGGGATACATGGGCTTCCTGCGCCAAGCGGAACAATATTACACATTTAACAGGAGTTCGGAGAACAAACCATATATATATATATTATACAAGTATAAACATATATATATTATACAATGTACAACATAATACAAAGCTTCTTTTACCCATGACCCCATGGATCTCCGCAGCACCTTCCTGGCCATGACCAGGCACTCCAACCACTCGAAGACCCCCACGCCCAGCCTCTGTCTCGTTGGGATGCTTGGCTTCGACATGCGCCTCGAGGGCGCGACCTCGGACGAGAAGCGACCTTCGGCGACGAAAACGACGTCAATGTTCAGCGGCGCAAGAAGTCTTTGGCAATGCCTCGGTACATTTTATTGACAAGCTCCCAGGGTGCGAGCTATAGTTACATTGGTCAAATTGAGAAGAACATATGATTGTAAGCCTCCAGGTTGACTGCACGAAAATCACTCTCCGTTTGCCTCAAAGCCTCAAAGATGCAGAGTCTTTACCGAGCGACTGGGGGACTTGGAAATTTCCCGAACAAACATTGAACATCGATCCTAATCCCCAAAGGTAAAGATAGTGTCACCAACATGTGAGTTCTGTGTCTTCGTGGGGAGCTCATGAAAACATGTTTGAACCCTGTGGCTGTGGCAAGTCACAACACTACTAAACCATGCTAAACCACTGGCTTGTAGGGGATTATTAATGAGCATTGGCCTCCAACTGATTTTAGTTGGGTGTAACGTTGTGTGTTCGACCTGTCCCTCAGCAAAGGAACGAGTCCCTGGCAGAATGGCACTGCATCCATGGTTTGCCACGTCTTCGTCTGTGCCTCAGCTGTGAGAACAACTGCGCGACACACGAAGCAGTCTTGACTCTTGCCAAATACAAAGGTCACCGAATGGACAGCTGAGAGGCAGGTTAGCAGCAAACTATTGTACATATAGTTAGTTATATATATTATATCTATATATATATAGTTACATACTATAATTATATGTATACATATTGGAAATGTATACAATATACAAGTAATCGCGGGGAAGAGCTGGCATCCCATCATACATCTCTTTTGTCATAATACATAACAAAGGCATGGGATGGGCGGTGCTACATTCTCAAGCATTGCACAGAAAGGATGGTCGGCAACTCCCTCCTGAGCCCGCGGTAACCTTCCCTTTGAGACATCGACCATTTTCGTTTGAAGACCTTTTGAACCAAACCAACACATTCTATATATAGTTCAATATGCATGTTGAATGAATTTTGATCCATGAATGTCTCTCGTCAAACTTTGTGAAACTCGCTAAAAGTTCAGGAGAGATAGCCAAGGCAGAATGAACCAATATCAGTTGGGAATTGAATAGACTCAGACCAACACTCCTGTGTCCTGTCACCTGCTTTCTGGGTAATTACAACAAACTCCTGGTCGCAGTTTGCACATCAGGTCTCACCCTCATATACCGCCACCCTCTAAAAAGGCACTCAATAGCAGGCCCCCCCAAACTATACCCTGTACAACTGTAAGACCCAATGGCCTGAGGCCTTCATAGGCCCTCCATGGCCTTCCCATTGCCATCACGGCCGCCATTTTCGTCTGCAGCTTTTGGAGGTGAAGTTGCAAGGAGTCAATGCGCTCAGCCTGCCCGAACGGAGATTGGGCGCCGGTGAGCTCGGCAAATATAGGGATCGATGGTACGCATCATATGATTTATATTTCAAATACCAAAATATATTGTATAAGCAATTGAAACATTGCTTTAACTTCAAACTTCGTCATATTTTGTCTTGGAATGTCTTGGGGCTTAGGGGGGATCTTGGCTCTTCTCTTGAGTTCTTCCATCAAAACTCAAAACAATCCTGCTATGCTGCGATATGCCAGGTCAACCGTGCAAGGCATTGTTCTGCATGTTGTACGCTGAACCAGCACGCCAAGAGGGTTTTGTGCGGCGCGGAGCAACGTCGAGGGAAGGACCAAAGTCCGGCAACGGACAAGCAAACTGGATGTTTTTGTCACTCAAGTTCTACATCCGAGTGGTCCCAGGTTTCCGATTCGACATGAATCGACCAATGAAATTCATGTCTGAGTCTGGCAAGTTTGGCAAGTGCCTTAGGCACTTTGTTCCGCCAAAGGCGCATCGTCGACCTGGCAGCGCGATTCGTCCCAAACGGAGTCCGCGGTTCACAGAAATGAGCACCAACAGTGAAGACTGGTGATTTTAGTTCAGGCAGTATGCTTTCTCAACCACAACTCCCCTGAAAAGAATTGTTCCAAATGTTCCGAAGTGGAAGCATGCATGCTTCATCATTCGCCCCCACCAATAGGGCCTTCAATAGGGCCATGTGAACTGCCATGTGACTAGCCACTCAAAGCCACTACGCCTCCACTCTCCTCCCTCGCCTCTGCGGATTGGTGAAGACCCAAAGCCTGCGAGGCTCTTCCAGCGGCTGCAAGTTCGCAAGTGACTCTCCTCACCGATGGAACCTTGTAATAGTGATCAAGTGATCCCCGAATATACAAATAGATCAACACGGTTTCCAATTTCTCTATAAGGATTGCTGCTGGGGTCATTATTTAAGCCAATGGTCTGGCAACTGACAGTGGCAAGTACAACCACCATTTAAATTCCGAATCAACAAAAAGGATCAAACAATACACCAACCACTGGGCCCACCCACTGTACCACCCGCCTCAAAATAATATTCTATTACTTTGAGGTGGTTGGAGATATCCGCATCAAATTATTTCTGGACTCTCAGGGTCTCACAAATAATTTCAAGAATGTAAAAAACATCCAACATAGACCCGACATGAGACCATCTAGGTGGGACTCACCCCCCATAAGTTGACCAAAGTTGACTCAGCTCGGATTAACACGGACAGTGTCATAATGGATAGTTGAGTAGTCAACCACCCTTCAAAAAAAAAGACAAATATAAAAT